AGAGAGAGAGAGAGTTTGTTTCAAATGCAACTCATCACATTTGTACAACCAATGCAACCCAATAAATTGAATTTTTTATGAAAATGATGAAAGTTCATTTATTATGATTTAAATATTTATGAAAGATGAATAAGGTTTATTAATTATGATCAATATTTTATATTAGGAAATAATCAAAACTTCTATTAAATTACATATTTATCAAATTAAATGGACAGTTAAGATTGAGTTATATTGATTATACAAATAAAAATGGTTGTATAATAACTCACCTCTCTATACATACATATATATATATATATATATGAATAAATCATACATGCAAGTTGTCGAGAAATGACGAAAATAATATTTGTAACAACTATTTCATAATAACAATTATTTTATTTTCTATAATATCTACAGTAAATTATTTATGTCACCATTTAAATCCATTTTTATGAAAATCATCGCAACCTTGGTTTGGAGAAAAAAAAATAGTTATTGTATTTAATAATAATTATTTAACCTTGGTTTAGAAAAAAACAGGAGTTACCGAGAATCACGACAGGATCACTTTAAAGGAAACCGATGGCTTTTGAGATCCAATCATATTTCTTTTGAATATTAAATTCTTGTTCCCCAAGATTCAAATATTTTTATCAACTTTTTATTCATTTATTTATTAATAAAAAAGTGTTCCAGTTGATTCCAATGTCAGAGACTATATTTGTAATTAATATTTTTGGTCTTTTCCAATAAATAATTAAATATAGCTTTTTAGCATATGCTCTTTAACTTTTTTTTGTTTTTCATTTATTTTGATTTTCCAAACATATAATTTAATATAAAATAAATAATTGAATATTATACGTGTCACTACTTGATTGAAATCTGTGGCTGAAAATAAAAATAGAGTACAGAAACTGTATTTTAATTTTAATTCTCTCACCCTTTTATTTAGCTTTGTCGATAGATCCATTTATTATTATTATTATTATTATTATTTATTATTTATTATTTATTATTATTATTGTTCAAAATCAAAACAATGGAAGGTGATCCAATTTCCATCGTTTGTTGATAAATAAATTAATTTTATTATTAAAAATATATTAAATTATCCAAAATAAAGAAATATTTAATTACATTATAATGATATTTCTTTTAAACTTTAAATATTAACCAACATAACAATTAGTTTGTTAAAGAAATTACAAATATTTTCTCTTTACTCTTTTGCTATGTTAAATGTAATAGTGTTTTGAAAGCTCCTATTTATTATGGCGACGAATAATTAAATTACTTTTGACTATATATATAAACATATGGAAGAATTTAACAAACAATCATTTTCAATAATTAAGTCTATGAAGTATCTTTTTAATTGAAAAAATTAATAAATTTTCTCATTTTAATGATTAAGTTCGTAAACATTTTTTCAATAAAATAAATCATCGAGCTTTTAGAAATTAATTACTTACATTATCAATTTTACCCAAAAAAAAAAAAAAACTTGTAACCGACTAAAAAATCTTAAAGTAAAACTACTTGTAACCCTAAAAATAAATCAAAAAGAGGGAGATCAACGACAGATGTCAACAGTGTGATAGTTGATATGAAGAACAAACAATGATGAGGCGGACAAAAAGTGGCAAAATGAATGATATTATTGTTTGCGAGAGGTTTGAAGAACGCAAGGTTTGGAAACGGTAAAATAGATTTAGGTTTTCATTTTACTTTAAGATCTTTCTAGTAGATTGCATATAGTTTTTTTTTTTTTTTTTGTTGTTGAAAGGATGTTGGTAACAATTTTTTAAAAGTTTGTTGCTTCATTAATTATAAAAAAGATGTTCAGGAACTTAATCATTTAAAATAAGAAAGTTTAATATTTTTTTTCATTCATAAAAATAGTTAAGTGACTTAATCATTCAAAATGAAAAAATTTGATGATTTTTTCATCCAAAAAATAGTTTAAAAACTTAAACTCTATAATTTGATAGTTCATTAGGTTATGTATTTAAGATGTCATTGGTCGAATTAGAGATATACAAATGTGATCGAGACCAATGACTATTTAGAAAAAGATTGGTTAGGGTGAGGACCATGTCCAAATGAATGACTAATTTATTAAAGAGCTGTTTGGTAGTTGTTGAATGATTTAATGCAAAATTATTAAGAGACTCACATGATATAGTGCAAAATGAAATATAATGTTTGGTAATTATTTACAACTAAATCATGACGTTGAATGGTTAAGGAAAACCCATGATGCAAAATCATTCAGATAATTTTAGAACCATTAAGAGACAACTTTTTTCTTTTGTCAAACAAGATTCACCTCTTAACGATTCAAAGACTGTCTCATAATGGTCATATTAAAAGGTAAACAAACAACCTCTAAGATTGTTTCTCACTTGGACGATATAAAACCCAATCAAACAAAATTATCGATAACATTATATATATATATATATATATATATATTGGTAGACTAAATTTTTTAATTGCTTATGAAACTAAAACAAAACTTTATAATATAGGGTAGAAGAGATTCTTAATCATAGATTAAATAAAGTCATGAATCATTGATCATGATGAGCATTGATTTATGGACTTTGTTAGCAAAATATTGATTATGACTTCTTTTATATGTTTCATTCTTATTGTTTATTTTTATATTTTTATTACTTATTACGTATCAATTTATCCTTTCTAAAACATTTTTGCACAATTTAAGATATCTATAAAAACAACTATTCATTTATTTGAAACATATGAAATATGTATGTATATCTCATTCAGAAATTCTATGTTCTTGACTTCTAGTGATATATCAGCTAGTTTCGTTTCAGTTTAGTTATAGCTTTTTTATCATGAATTAAAAAAGATAAAGTAGAATGATAATCTTAAAATGTTTACTTTTTTTATAGCATTTAAAAAAAATTAAGTTTAAGGTTCATATTTAATACGTGAAGTACATAAGTAATACTATTTTATATGTATTTTTGATGATTTTTTATTTTATTGAAATAAATTTCTGTAAATAAGAGCATTTCAAATAAATTTTTTAAAATAAAGATTTTTAAGTTTTTTGATTAATTTTTTTATTCTATAGATTATTTAAATTTTTTTCTAAAATAGATTCAGAACGCTCATAAAAATAATAATTAACAAATATTTTATTATTAATAATATCAATAAGAAGAGTAAATTACGATTTTCGTCAATAGTTTTCAAAAATTGTTTTTTTCATCACTGTGGTTTGTATTTAGTTTTTTAATAATTTTTTATTAAATATTATATATAAATTAACACACACATATATATATTATTTATGGTGTTATTTAAATTAATGTAATTTTGTTAATGTAAATCTTTATTAAATAAATAAATTACTAAATATTTATTAATATAATATTAAAAATAGTAAATAAAATATACTATTTTAATATAAAATCTATAAATTTGGTGTTTTTTTTAAGAGTTACTTAGAGTGAGTTTTTTTATGTTAATGGATCCACTAAATTTGGTATTTTTGATGTTAATTGTAATTTTTGATAGGATCAATAGAAGATACTGTTACACGTCGCGCATGACTATGTCCGATTTCGTAATATTGAACGGTCAAGATTTTTCATCTATTACTATATATAATGTGTCAACACACTGGGTAGTCTTCCTCAGTTTCTACGGCCTGCGCACTTTTTACTCTCTCTCTCTCTCCGTCTCTCTCTCTCTACGTCTCTCTCGTTCCATTCTAGGGTTTTTGTTCAGGTACATCCGTCATTCATCCATGGATAAATTTGACTACTCTTTGGATATATTTGTAAGATGTTGGTTGTTAGATTTACAGTTACTTCGCTCATCTGATTCAGTTCCTTTTCATGCTTGCTTTTCACATGAGATCACCTCTGCTCCCGTATATCACAAATTCATGGCTTTCTTGTGGACTTGAAATTGTTAATTTCCTTTTTTTTTTTATCATTGGTGTTCATTTTTAGTAGTATATGTTGATTGGTTCAGACTGTTGGCAGATCACCGTATTCATTTACGTTATTCTGTTTTTTAATGCTAAAATCCGCTGTTTTCAATTCTTTCCGAGTCCTGATCCTATAAATTCACAGTTTACTCGTCTATTTTTATGAAGAATAAACTAGAAAAAGTGCTTGTTTAAAAGATATGTAATTGTTTGATCTCAATGTTTGAGGGATTTAGGTGAAAGTACTTTTAATTGATGAAATTTATTTCTGTGGTAGATAGATAGATGGTCATGGACGGGCGATGGAAAGAGGATTATGGGGTATTGAGCTTGAACGCCTTAAAATTCAACGGATCTACGACGGTTCTATCAGATCAGAAGTTTCTTAATGCAATGAGTCTGAACGAAACATTTTTAGATCGAAATTCTACGGACCATTCTCCAGAGTTACCTGATGCAAGCCTTACATCTTCTAGCTCAAATAATGAGCATGACCCTCATGAGGATTTTGATTATAGTGATGTAGTTTTCAAGTACATAAATCAGATGCTCATGGAAGAAGACATAGAGGAGAAGACTTGCATGCTTCAAGAGTCTGCTGCTCTTCAAGCTGCAGAAAAATCGTTTTATGATGCTCTTATGATAAATGAACCTCCTTTCTGTAATGTCCATTCTACAGTACCTCTGTATGATGATGATGGCAAGAATGAGATTTCTATAGGGGGCTACAATTATTTTGGTGGTAACAGTTTCATAAGTGGTACAGGTCTTAGTTGTGATGTTAGCGATTACAACTCTCCTCTTGTGCCAACTGTTACCTTCAATCTTGATTCACAATCCATATCCCAGTCCTCTTATTGCTCATCGAGTAGTAATAGTTGTGTTATAGATGGTTATGTGGATTCACCAGTGAGTATTCAAAGTTTTTCTGATCTACTTGGTAGTAGCAGATCTGCTATGCACTTTCAAAACAACAGTGATAAGGCCTTAACTCATCTGGGGACTAATCACGTGTTTGGAGAGAATCAAAGGGAAGATGTTAATACTGTGGTTGTCAAGGCAGAGAAGGAACATGAAAGCAATTCCATCCGAGAAGAATCAAGAGGAAAGAAAAATTCTTATTCCAAAGATCTTGTTGAGGATGGGAGAATTTCTAAGCAATCTGCAGTTTACACTGAACCAACTGTGAGGTCCAAGATGTTTGATGACGTTTTGCTTTGTAGTGGTGGAAATAACCATCCTCAAGGTAACTTTGTTCATAATGGGGTCACTAGAGTACAACCAAAGGGGAACAAGGGAAAGGGGCGTGGTAAGAAAGGGGTTAAAAAGGATGTAGTGGATATGAGAACACTCTTGAGCCTCTGTGCACAAGCTGTTGCAGCGAATGACCAAAGAAACGCAATTGATCTACTGAAACAGATAAGAGAACATGCTTCACCCACAGGAGACGGGATGCAAAGATTGGCCCATTACTTCTCTGCTGGTCTTGAAGCACGAATGGCTGGCTCAGGAACTGAAATATACAAAGCGCTTCTTTCCAGGCCTATATCTGCTGTGGATGTATTGAAAGCTTATCATTTATATCTTAGTTGCTGCCCCTTCCTGAAGATCTACAATTTTTTTTCTAATAAGACTATTTTGCATACTGCCGAGAATAAGGCAAAGCTGCATATCGTAGACTTTGGTATCCTTTATGGCTTCCAATGGCCTTGCTTCATACATCGCCTCTCAACTAGGCCTGGTGGTCCACCTGAACTTCGAATCACTGGAATTGACTTCCCATGTCCTGGTTTTCGACCGTCCCAGAGAGTCGAGGAGACAGGGAGTAGGCTAGCAAATTATGCAGAAACTTTTAATGTTCCATTCAAGTTCAAGGCCATAGCTCAAAAGTGGGAAACAATCACAATGGAGGATCTTGAGCTTGATAGCGATGAAATACTAGTTGTGAATTGTGCATATAGGTTTAGGAACTTGCTTGATGAGACAGTCATGGTGGACAGTCCAAGAAATAAAGTTCTGAACCTTATTAAGAAAATGAAACCAGACATCTTTATACAGGGTGTTATCAATGGGTCCTACAACGCTCCTTTCTTTATCACCAGGTTCAGAGAAGCTCTTTTTTTCTTCTCTTCTTTGTTTGATATGATCGAGGCCAATGCGTCTCGTGAGACTCAGGAGAGGATGCTGATTGAGAAAATCTTTTGGGGACGAGAAGCCATGAATGTCATTGCTTGTGAAGGTGGCGAGAGGATAGAGAGACCCGAAACATACAAACAATGGCAGGTCCGGAACATGAGGGCTGGATTTCGCCAGCTCCCACTTAATCAAGAAATCTTGAAATTGGCTAAAGAGCGGGGGAAGTCATGCTATCACCCAGATTTTGGGATTGATGAAGATGGTCACTGGATGTTGCAAGGCTGGAAAGGACGCATTATATCTGCATTATCTTGTTGGAAGCCGGCTTCCTGAACTTGTATTTATTTTCTTCGATGGAAGGGAGATCATCAGACGCTTCTCTTGCTGGGCTTAGTGATTACAACGTGCATTTGAATTTGTCAGGACGTCATCATTTTAGAAAGTATGTTAGTTCTATTTATTTCATAACCATTATTTTTCATTACAGATTGTGTAAGTTGTTGATATATAAGCATGCTTATTGTATACAGCAGGCCAAGTAAGAAGGAAGCTGGCTGCTGCGCATACTGGAACATTGACAAACGAAGCAAGCATCCAGGTTCCGGTGTGGGGTATGTATATCAACTTCCATTAGTACAAGAAGTAGTTAAAAAGCGAAAGTAATGGCATTGATCATGTTAAAGAATACCTAAATTTGTAAAATTGTGGAAACGGTGTTTATAAGAATAATCATCGTTGCTCATTGTAACCGTGGTAGTTCATTAGAAATAGGCTTCCATTATTGTTCTAGTGTTGCAAATTCATGTGCTTAATGAAACTTAATTCATCCACAATTAAAGTTCATCTTATTTAGCATTGTATCATCTGAGTGTTTTAGTATGGTTGAAGAATGGGTGGTCCAAAATGTGTCCTTAGCAGGTAGCAGCGGAGGTAAGCATTTGAATTCTGCAGTGTAAAGCATGTTGAATAATAATATCACATGGGTGTCATTCAAGCAACAGAGAAGGAGATGACATATAATGTGTCAAGTCTTCAAATATTATGGTTTTCAATTGAGATGGTCCAAATGAGAATATAAAACAGCCAAAATAAAGCAAAGTAAAAGAAGATGCAGTGACATACAAATCATGAAATAACATTTATTTCGGTGGGTTAGATATATATATATATATAGAGAGAGAGAGAGAGAGAGAGAGAGAGAGAGAGACCCACATAAATGCATCGTTGCAAAGCGCGTGCTCAGGTTCATTGAATCATGGTTTTCAACTATTCATACATGTCATGCATTTTATATCCATTTCCGTTGCAACATAAGTGTATGTGCTTGTAACTTTTATCCACAATTACACAACCATCTTCATTAAATGTAATTCTTTGTTTTATAATCTTAATAAGATGACAAATCGATGCAGAAAATACACAAGTGCCATTGAGTAAGTATTAGAGCAATGACAGATCCAGGAAATTAATAGGGAGAGGGCATGTTGGATGAGACTTGAGGGAGACACATATATAGTCATATGAAACTGAGGGAAAATCATGTAAGACAAAGATAAAAATAGAAAATTTAAGTTAGTCAACATGGTCTTTGATTGGGGGACTTTCCCCCAGTCCTTAAGGCTATATCCGCCCTGTATTGGAGCATCTCATTCCACACCAATATGTTATTGGAATCATAACTATTTTCATTTTATCCCCTTTCTTAATATGATTTTCTTTTTAAACCTTAATACATTTTTTGATTAGTTAATTTAATTTATTAAATATTTATAATAAAACCAAATAAATTTTATAACAAAATATATTATTAAAAATCTCTTGTCAAGACGATCGAAATGACATTAATATTGAATACGTAAAAATATATAAAAATCAATATAATCAATTTATCGTTTATATATATATATATATATATCAATGGCTTTTTAATAGAATACAAACTTCAATTCGAAAGAGAAATAAAATTTCAAGTGATTTTTAATACAACTTATTATAATGTTTTTAAATATTTGAATTTTAATGTTAAGTAATTTTTTGTATTAAAAAAAATATGACGTGAACTTTAAAGTGACAAATTCAATGAGGGGTTTTATAAAACATTTTAAATAGCCGAGGGTAGATAATTGATGTGATTGATGAAAAAGCTATTTAAAAGGTTTTTGTATGGAAGAAGATTCATAATAAATAAGTTTTTGTAAAAAAAATGTTATTGAAAAGCTGATATGACAAAAGTAAAAGATCTTTAATGATTTATGCACCAGGGATACTCTTACTCGGGAATCATGTACAAGTAACTTGAGTGAATTATGTTTGCTTATTAATTAACGTTTCTAACATAATCAATATTTCTCGATGATAAATTTCACCTTAAAAGACTGATTACTTTTTGGGAAAATTGCATCAAAATGGAACAAACTTTCACATAATTTCTATTTTGGGGAACCAACTTTCAAAATCGTCATTTTGGGGAACCAATTTGCACATGATTCTTATTTTGTGGAACCAACTTGCACTTGATTCCTATTTTGGGGAACCAACTTTCAAAATCGTTATTTTGGGGAACCAACTTGCAAAATAATTATAGAAAAATAACTAAAATTCGTTTTTTTTTTCAAAAATTAATGCAATAAAATCTAGTTTTCATTTCAAATCTCGTTTTTTTAATTCAGATTTCAAATTGAACATTTTAAAAAAAATCCAAATTACCACAATAAAAATTGTTTTTTACTAATGCCAAAAAAATCAATTTAATAGAAAATTTTAATTGATGCAATTGGTTAGATATAAAAATCTTGAATGTGGTAATTTGCATTAGTAAATTTTTTTTTTGCATTAGTAAAAAACAATTTTTATTGTGGTAATTTGAATTTTTTTTTAAATGTTTAATTTGATATCTGAATTAAAAAAAACGAGATTTGAAATAAAAAATAGATTTTATTGCATTAATTTTTGGAAAAAAATTGAATTTTAGTTATTTTTCTATAATTATTTTGCAAGTTGGTTCCCCAAAATAGGAATTAGGTGCAAGTTGGTTTCCCAAAATGACGATTTTGAAAGTTGGTTCCCCAAAATAGAAATCAGGTGCAAGTTGGTTCCCCAAAATGACGATTTTGAAAGTTGGTTCCCCAAAATARGAATCRKKTSCAAGTTGGTTCCCCAAAATGACGATTTTGAAAGTTGGTTCCCCAAAATAAGAATTAGATGAAAGTTGGTTCCATTTTGATGCAATTTTCCCTTACTTTTTCTACATATTTTTTCGTCACAATTCTTCTCATGATGATCATGTTTGTGATCAATGAGTTTCACTCATCAAGCATGTACATATATTATAAGATATATGTTGCAAAATTGTATGGTGTTGGTTGTCATTAAAATATGGTTGTAAGCAGTGGTAAATTCAAAAACTTAGGCGACTGTGGTCTCTTTAGTATAAAAAAAGTCCGAAACTAAATAGCTCGGTCATACGAAACGATTTCGGGTTATTCGGTGTGTAGGTTAAACGATTTGGTTAATCAAAATTATCATAGCATGATTGCAAGAACCAACAGTAACAATATAAGGTAATGAAGACTGTTAAACAAGAGAGTGAAGAGTTTCATTAAAATGGACTAGGCCACTGAAAGAACAATAAAAGATAACTAAAGGGAACTAAACACATAAGAGTTAAAAACAAAAAATTACCTACAATATTTTTAAAATTTTACACTTGAGTAGGGGCCTTTCCCCACCTTAATTAACGTACATCCGTGCCTGCTTGTAAGTAAGGGTGGCAATGAGTTAGGTTAGGTTGGGTTTGAGTTCAATCTATTTATTAAACAGGTTGAAAAGTTTAACCCAATCCAAACTGTTACTTAAATGGATTGACAGCATGTTAATCTGTTTATGTTTTTCTTAACCCAACCTATTAAATAAATTGCTTGAATCTGAGTTGATCCATTTAATTTTAAAATTTTAAATAAAAAAAAAGGACTATACTATTTAATTTTTTTGAATAAAACACAACACAACCTCAAATACAAACAAATCGTTCAAAGTTTTAATAAAACACAAATACAACAAATATATTGTACAAAATAAATTGAAATTTTTTAAGTAACTCGACTTCCATTTTCAAAAAACAAACATTATATTTCAAAAAACAAACATTATAACGAACTTACTACTGGAATAGTAAAAAATAGAATGGAACTTGGACTAGAAAATGAAACATTGTTAATATTAATCATATCACTGAAATGATACTGCTGACCAAACTTTGAGATTTGAATGTGTGTTTAATATTAATAATATTACTTATAGATACATAAGATTTGAGTGTTTTGAAACATAAAACAAAAAAACTTACTAATGAGACTTGAGTGTGTGTTCAATGAGAGGCTGGAGACTGGAGACAGATGTCCGACGGAGACCCGGAGAGCCTGTTGAATCAATAATGTTGGACGTCTGGACGGAGAGAAAACCAAGAGGGAGACAACCAGACAAATGCTGGACGGAGAGAGAGCCGAGAGGAAGAAAACGCTGCACGGACAAAGAGTCGAGATTGAGAGGACAAGACGTAGACAACAGACTTGAAGAGTTGGATTGGATTTTGGAGACGATAATGAAGTAATAGACTAAAATTAAGAACATAAAGAAAAATAATCAAATACGTATACGAAAATGCCACAAATAATTTACAAAAAGTCATGACATAGTGACAGTGTACTTCAATTGTTTTTACTCGTTTTTGAACATGCACGAGTTTTTTAATATATAATTTTTAAATAGAAACGTTATCTTTTATGATAAAAAAAGATACGATTTTTTTTGTCTTATTCATGATATAAAAATATTTCAACAATAGTGATAGAATTGAATGATTTTATTAAATTATATGATTGTTTTAATTATTATTAGAAGGGTATTCGTGCAATGCAGTGAGATACATCGTGATTTTAATATTTCATTTTATTCTTTATCTCAGTCGATGTAATAATATGGCTTTATGTGATTTTGAGAAAGTGATGATGTTTTTATTTTTGAATAAAATATATGTTTGAAGATATCATAAAAATTTGACAAAAATATATAAATATTAGTATCAAATTAACTATTTGAAATTCTTCATTTTTTTGTATAATTTTTAATTCAATATTTTTATAATTTTATTTAGATACAATAACGAAGTAATTTATATTTGGTTTAATAATATAATTTTTTTATAAAAATAATAATTATTTATTTTGTTGGAACTTGATAATTATTCTAATTATATTTTAGATTTTTTATATTTTAAAATGAGATGTTCATCCTCTATTTGATTATGTTTATCCGTAGTTATTTATACGAATTTAAAAATCGAGCTTTAATAAATTGTACTTATGCATAATTACTTGTAATCTTGAATTTTAAGTAATATGCATCAATATACAGTACTTTATGCATAACAAAAATATATCGATATTTGTATCAAATTAACTATTTAAAATTCCTAATTTTTTGTGTAATTTTTTAATTCAATTATTTTATTATAGTTTAATTTAGGTACAATAACGAAGTAATTTATATTTGGTTTAATAATATAATTTTCTTATAA